TCTTTCAATTTCAGTTGTAAAAAAACGTTACCCCCACACTAGGATTTTCTCCTGTGTCGTGGAGGCAGTTTACAAACATAAATTGCACAAAGACAAACATCCAGACCCGGAACAATTATTTGTAGGCCATACAAATACTTGTTCCATGCGGGATTCGAACCCGCGGCCCCCAGCGCAACAACTGATTGCTAAGCCACTGCGCCACCATGAAGCTAATACAAAGACTAACTTTGTATTTGCTTCATGGTCGCCGGGTTATAGCTAAAGTGACCATACGTCCCGTTTTGAACGGGACTGTCCCTTTTCTCGGTCTCCTGTCCCATTGTCCCCAAACAAAGCTCCGGGACACAAAATTGTCATGTAACTAGTTGGATGGAAGTATTCAAAGTCAACAATCTTCAACATATTTTTTTTTAATCGAATATATTTTATGTCTACCTGGTACGAATGCTCCGGTAGAAAGAGTATTTTTTTATTTTGCATAAATTGTGGACGTCTGAAAGAAACACTTACGGTTCCAGAGTTCTAAAGGCGATGTTGTTAACAAAGATAACAATAAAAAACTTGAGCAGAATTTTATTCTTATTTAAAATCATCACCAACTTTATTAAAGCAAATTTAATCCACTGACAAATGTAATTAATAATTTAAAAAAATATGTTGCATTTAATAATTACCGTCTATACCGAATATAATTTTATAGTGAACACTAATTGTATAAAGTTATAGTTTTTAGAGTATAAATAAACCCATGTCCTGTTTTGAGTTAAAAAATAAATGGTCAGTTTAGTCTTTTTAGTTAAATTTAGTTTTAAAAATTTTTAGTAGTAAAAAGTAGGTATATTAGTACCTACTTAGATACTTTTTACCGAATTATAAGTATAGAACACCTTATGTACTCAATTATTTTTTGAAAAAGAAGAAAAAACAAGCAATAAATAATATACTATATTTTAGCAAAAAACTATAACTTAGTAATACTAATTATAACTTAGAACAAAAATGAAAAACTCATAACTGACCTTTTTCCCGACCCAGGATTCGAACCCGGGACCTCATGATCAGAAGTCGCACTACTACAACCACTAGACCAACGAGGCAGTACTATACCTGATAAGATATTGTGGTTGGGTGATAATATTGAATTAGCCTTTTATAGTGTAAATTATAATATTTGTCGAAATTTTAATTATAGATTCGAACCTTACATGCTAATGGTGCTTCATTTTTTTTATTTGCATTTACTTCAAAGAAAATACACGCAAAAAGCTTCATCGCGCAGTAAAAAACACAACAAATATATGTATAACTAATACGAAAAATTATACCCAAAACAAACAAATAATACTACCTATAAATAACCTAATAAGTAATATTATTTATCGACTGATATTACGTGAGTGTATGCGGCGCTGGTCGACGCTCTAACGACACGGGCTTCGCGTCGAAGAGCTCAGGGCTCACTGACTAAGCAAGCCCGTGAGCAGTGAATATGCCCAGATTTTAAAATAATTTCTTAATAAAATCAAATTTTGGTCTTTTGAAAAAAAATTTACTATAGAAATGTTTATTAATAAATTGCCTATCCATTGGTGTAAATCGCAAAATAAAATAATACTTACTTTACGAGGAGATCCATGTTATCAATAACAATTTCACATTTATGTGGTTTCGTTGTAAGGAGATTATATTAATATTTATTCGATTAAAAAAAAATTGGATATAGCTTTTATGGAATCAAGATTATGTAGAAATATAATGTGTTTTTTATTTGTTGATATATCTTATAAATAAAAAGTAGATAGCTTCTAAAAACCGCCCAAATAACGACTGGCGCGACATTTTGCTCAACCTGCGCCTTAATATAATTTGTTAATAAAATCAAATTTTGGTCTTTTGAAAAAAAAATTACTATAGAAATGTTCATTAATAAATTGCCTATCCATTGGTGTAAATCGCAAAATAAAATAATACTTACTTTACGAGGAGATGCATGTTATCAATAATTTTTTCACATTTATGTGGTTTCGTTGTAAGGAGATTATATTAATATTTATTCCTTTAAAAAAAATTGGATATAGCTTTTATATAATCAAGATTATGTAGAAATATAATGTGTTTTAAGTAGATAGCTCCTAAAAACCGCACAATTAACGACTAGCGCGACATTTTGCTCAACCTGCGCCTTAAAACACTTTTTGAAAATGGGTGTAATACCCTATTGTACTACTGATCACTTTAATTCGCAGTTATATCGCTTCGAAGTATTCGCATGTTTCGCGCTTCGAAGTATTCGCATGTTTCGCATTCGCAATTCAATACTGCCTCGGTCGCCGTCTATACTGGCCTTATATAGGGCCTTATATAGAAACTTCTAGAATGTTCGAGTACATATCGGATCCGATTGACTAGGTGTCAATAGTTCTAGAAAGTTCTTCCATGGAAATTTCTAGAAGGATCTTGACTATCCTAGTTCTGCTACTCTATACTAGTGGGCTCTAGTGGTAACTAGTGTTGCCATGAATCTTCCATTAATTGTAGCGCGCAACGTTACCAACCAATATATTGAACAGAGAAGCTTTTTTTTATAGGAGAGGGGGCAAACGAGCATGCGGCTCACCTGATGGTAAGTGACTACCGCCGCCCATGAACAACCACAACACCAGGGGAATTGCAGATGCGTTGCCGGCCTTTTAAAAAGGAGTAGGCTCTTTTCTTGAAGGTCCCTAAGTAGTATCGCTATATTATATTAAATTACACCAAATTTTGTGATGGCGTTAGAATGCCCAGTGCTCTTGTTTAATGCGAGAAAGGTTACGCGACAACATTATTCAAAATACTTTAGACAAAGAAATTTCATTAGTTGTAACCAAACCTTTAAATGTGACAAGACATAATGACGTAAAAGTTGAAATTAATAATTTTTTTATAGAAGTGGGGGCAAACGAGCATGCGGCTCACCTGATGGTAAGTGACTACCGCCCCCATGAACAACTGCAACACCAGGGGAGTTGCTGATGCGTTGCCAGCCTTTTAGAAAGATGTAAGCTCTTTTCTTGAAGGTCCCTAAGTCGTATCGGTCAGGAATAATCGCCAGTGGTAAACAATTTCACAGAGAAGTCGTACGAGGAATAAAACTCCTAGTAAAACGCACAGTCGTAGACCGCAAAGCATTCAGATGGTGAGGATGGTATCGTGAATTTTGACGCGATGTGCGTTCGTGAAATTTGGCGGCTTGAATTAATCCAAACAATTCCTCAGAGCACTCCCCATGGTAAATTAGGTAGAAAATGCAAAGAGATGCATAATTCCTACGCAGTGCCAGTGTATTGAGTCGATCAGAAAGAACTCGGTCGTCGACGATTCGGACCGCTCTGTGCTGGATGCGATCAAGTGAAACGAGCTGGCACTGGGGTGCCCCGGCCCAGAGATGAGAACAGTATTCCATGTGAGGCCGAATTTACGCTTTGTAAAGTTGGAAGCGATGTGCCGGCATGAAATACTGTCTCGCTCTGCTGAGCACGCCAAGCTTTTTAGAGGCGAATTTGGCCTTCCCTTCCAAGTGACCACGAAACTGCACACTACTGCATAACACTAGCTGAGGCAGCAAGGGGAGTGCCTTGAAACTGAGGAGATACGACAAGGGGTACTTTTTAGCGGTAAACGCGCAAACTTGTGTCTTCTGGGGATTGAATTGGACTAGATTTAGTCGCCCCCAATCCGAGACTTTGTTCAGCAAAGACTCGACTTCAGACACAAGTTTGTCCCGGTACTCGGTGACGTTTTCCCGAGAAATATTGGTACGGCCAGTATATAAGGCATCACCAGTGCTGTCGTCTACATAGCAATGAATGTTACCAGTTTGCAACATATCATTGATATGCAGGAGAAACACCGTTGGTGATAGCACACAACCTTGTGGAACACCAGCGTTGATAGGCTTGAATTCAGAGCATCTACTACGACCTTGATGCTCCCATCAGCAAGGAAACTGGTGATCCATTTGCACAATTTCTTGGGAAGCCCATAGGAAGGGAGCTTCGAAAGAAGCGCTTTGTGTCAAACCCGATCGAAGGCCTTCGCTATGCCCAAACTAACGGCGAATGCTTCCCCCTTGGATTCTACTGCCTCCGCCCATCTATGAGTCAGGTAGACCAGAAGATTACCAGCTGTTCGACTCCGACGAAAACCGTACTGGCGGTCACTAATCAGCTGGTGATCCTCAAGGTACCTCATGAGCTGGCAGTTTATAATGGATTCCATTATTTTGGAGAACGATACGAACGAACGGAGGTGATGGCGATAGGCCTGAAGTTCGACGGGTCTGAGCGGTCGCCTTTTTTTTGGATCGGGTGGACCAAAGATAACAGATGGACAGCATTAAGGGAAGGAAGAAGGAAAGGGAAGGCAATTTTGCCTCCCCCCCCCCCCCCCAGAATACGCGGCGCAGCCTGAACACCCACGCTCAGGAGTGGAGTAGTTTGGTCGTGGATGCTCAGCGAGGGATTCTCCAGGGATGCTGGTACCCTCCTGAGGTAGTCTTTTATTTAATTCCACTACCATGTTGATGGGGGGGGGGGGGGAATTAGGCCTCCGGCCACCTGCACTCACCAAGCGCAACGCAGAGGTTAACTTCTACTTCACGCTGGTATTCTGTGAGGTCGTGGTACCACCCCGGTTCGAGCCGGCCCATCCGTGCGACAGCAAAAGCTGCCGCTTGGCTCTACCACTGTTTACAGAACGGAAACGACATCGACTCAGACAAAATTTTAACTGAAAATCTAAATAACCTACGGTTAGACCACATGAACCAAGAAGAACGAAATAGTATTCGAACACTCTACAGTACAAGGACATATTCTACTCGGAACAATATTTACCACTTACTTTTACGAATGACGTTAAGCATTTAATTAGAACTCATAATGAAGACCCCATTTTTATTCGACCCTATAGACAGCCACGAGTTATAAGCGACGAAATAAATAAACAGTTAGAAAATGCTGGAAAACGACATGATTCCGAAAAAGGCCGATGCAAGTAACGAAAAGAAATATAGATTAGTTATTGACTATAGGCGACTTAACGAAATTACAATAGACGACAAATACCCCTTGCCTAACATATCTGAATTGTTAGACAAATTAGGACGTAGTTGTTACTTTACCAAACTTGACTTAGCTAGTGGTTATCATCAAATAGAAGTATCTGAGAAGGATAGACAGAAAACAGCTTTCAGTACAGTTCAGGATACTATGAGTTCACACGTATGCCTTTCGGCCTAAAGACAGCTCCAAGCTTTCAGAGAACCATGGACAATATCTTACGAGGTCGGCAAGGTTTACATTGCTTCGTGTACCTAGACGACATAATCATTTACTCCACAAGCTTACAGGAACTTATAGACAAATTACGAACCGTATTTGACAAACTGCGACAGACAAACCTAAAAGTTCAGCTAGACAAATCAGTATTTCTGAGGAAAGAAGTATTGTACCTAGAGTTAAACGATTACCTGTGACGATATAAAACCCATCAATGACAAAATTAAAGCCGTATTAAATTTATCCCTTACCAAAGACGACAAGCGAGATTAAAAGCTTCCTCGATTTGGTAGGCTTTTACCCACGTTTTATAAAATATTTCGCTAAAGTAACTCAACCCATCACAGCACGCTTGAAAAGGAAACGCTCAATGCCTCTTGACGACAGTAAATACTTAGAATCCTTTCAAAAATGCAAAGAACTTCTGACAAGTGCCTTCCTTTCACAAGGACCAGTAGGACAAGACAAACCAATTGCTTATGCTAGTCGAACCTTTAACGATGCCTTTACACGATGAAGTTACACTGAAACACGTTACAGTGTAACTGAAAAAGAACTGCTTGCAATAGTTTGGGCTATCAAACACTTCCGTCCATATCTTTATGGCAAAAGTTTACGATCATTGCCTCTTGCCTGGTTAAACTCTCTTAAAGAAACAAATAGCCGACTGACTAGATGTCGCTTAAGGCTAGCCGAATATGAATATGATTTTAGCATTATTCATAAAAGCGGTAAGCAGAACTCCAATGCAGACGTTTTGTCGCGAATTAGAATTAATGCCTTAGATAAAAGGGAAATTTCATCCACCCTCGCAAATGTAAATAAACACGAAGATAAAAATAAGGAAATTCAGGACTTAATAAAAGATATTAAAGAATTAGACGAATTGCAGAAAAGGAAGATTAGACCACCACCTCCCGAATCTATGTCTATTTCAAACACAGACTCTGAGAAGGCTATTGTTATAGAGGATACAGATTCAGATAAAACCCTATCAATTAAATCTGATTATTATAGTAGCACATTTACAGCCTCCGAAAAACCCTTTAGTATAAAATCCGCACATTCAGGACAAGACACTGAATCACAGGGAATTCTATAATTAGAATTATTGTATAATGTAGATTTAAATTAAATAACGAGAATAATAATAATATTTCTGAATATCGCTTGCCTAACATCTGTGTGCCCGGTATATGGTAACAGGCTTGCCTCCTGTTACATAGGGACTTATATCTTAAATATATCAGGCAAAATGTGTTAATATCTTCTTCTTTTTGAACATGCTCCACACATTTCTTCCAGCGATCAGGCGTGACTTTCGCCATACCGTCACTTAATAATGGCTTAACTTTTTCAAATTTTTAATATTACAGTTGCTGTTTTTTTAAATAACTTTAAGATAAGTTTAAACTACACTTCGAACCAAGCAGTTTTAATTAAAACTACTAAACAACATTCATATATATCCTATTCCTATACATACCTTTGGACGTTTCTTTTCCGGAGAAGTAAAATCTGTTAATTTATCTCTCGACGTACTTGGTTGTGGCTCCATCATTAACCACTCTTAATAAAAAACAATTATCAACAAAACAAAATAACAATAATTAAATAAACAACAAAAATAACAAAAATTTTAACAAATAACTTGTATCACCACGAGCGCGTTCCGAATGTTGGCGAACCCATCTTGACCCTGACATGTTTTTGCCGGGAAAATGAGACATTACGACAAATACACAAGATGTAAAGAGATAGATAATAGATTGGCAACTCCACAGTCGTTTTTAAGGTAAATGACCTTTCGTATCGCGGCTAGTTGGCCGTACCATAGTTCATTACGGACACTGAACTAGTTCGTCCTACTAGTTCTATTAGCTCTATTCGGTCATCAGTACTAATAAACAGTTTAAACTATATATATCTGTAAAATATGTATAAAATGGTTATCTCACTCAGTGAGTCTCAGTCTCGGTCGTTCAATATCTGCTTGAATCGTAATGTTGTATTATTACTCTTACACACACACTTGATAATTTAATGCGACTGATATTGAAGCTATATTTGTTTTGTAAAAGAGAGCCGTACGGGCGATTTATAATCTAAATTGTAAAGAGTCCCTCAGAGAAAAATTTAAAGAAATAAACATATTAACTTTGGCATCGCAATATATTTATGAAAATGTAATGTATGTACATAAAAACATAAATAGCTTTAATAAGAATAAGGATGTTCATACCTTAAACACTAGGAACAAACATAAGCTTGTAATGCCACTTACTAGACTCCACAGAATTAGTAATTCATTTATGAAAAATCCCAGAATATGTTCAAAGTTTGTCAATAAACAAGTTTAAAAGTTTTATTAAAGAAAAACTGTACAAAAAGGGTTATTATAATATCAAGGAATACATGAATGAAAATAACCCCTGGGAATAAGGTGATCGCCACCATGCTGGTTCTATGAAAATTCATTTAAAATTGTATAAACAAAATTATTGTTAAGTGAAATTATGTTTAAAAAAAAAGTCCCGCTGGGTTTCTTGCTGGTTCTTCCCAGGACAGAGGTATTTTCCGAACCAGTGGTAAATAAAATAGTAACTTTCAATAAGTATTATGTAATAATCCATATTGAATAAAAATCATTCTATTCTATTCTATTCTATTCTTGGTCAAAATAAAAGTCTAGAGCAAATTAGTGTTGAAAAATAATTAACGAAAATAAATAAAATCCCATATCCATAACATGAGAAAATAAAAAGCATCCAGGGATGCAATTAATATTAAAACAATAATAAAAATCGCAAAAAATACTCGTCAAGAGTTGTTATAACATAACTTCAATTTTATTAAATTTTTACGCGATGGCAAGTGCTGAAGTGAAGTCTAGCAAATGTTTGTTTGTATATATTAATTAAATATAATAAATAAAATAATTTTCAAACACAGCGAGTCTAGCATCTATTCGGATGATAGATAAATTAGAAGTTATCGCGTTGATATACCTTACATGTATTTTTCTATGAAGTCTCATTTTAACGGATTTGATCAATGGTACCATTATAGGATTTCGCCGGCTCTTGTCCGAATGACTTACTCAACTCACCGACTCTCTCATTTGCTTGCTCTCGTACGTTCTCGTTCGCACGTGCGGTCTGTCGTATTGCGAGTTTTAAGTGTACAAAAAGAGCTGTTACACCGATTAACAATCAGTGTTCGGAAACGTATCTTCTAGTACAGTGCGAAGATACGTTTCCTATTTGTTCATCGTTCGCGAACTGCACAAGACTACCAGATTTAGTGAGACAATTTCTGAAAGAATACACTAAGAATAAAACTAAACACTTAATTTACTTCGAAAATTACGAACACCGTAAACAATTCTCGGAATTAGTAATTGTCTTGTTTAAAAAATTAACTTGTACAATTTTTTGAATACACTAAAAGATTCGTAAACGTAGATGTTACGGCCTACAGCTGCCCCTGCAAAGTTCATCTTGGCTGGGGCCCATAGCAGCCTGCTCGACGGGCAGACGCGGGTCGGGCCCAGTGGCCATATGTAAGAATTTCCTATAATACTAAGCTATATAGGAGAAGGCTAGGGAAATATAGTACTTACCTGTTTCCGACTCTTAGATCGCCCCAAGGCTCGGTCAGGCCGTAAGTGGGTGTGAGGTGCATGGCAAGTAGTGTTTAGTGATGTGTAAATGTCTGAGACCTGGACCAGCTTAGGCGACCAGCAGCGGCCGAGTTCCCGGCTGCCTCACAATGCTGCATCACTCCAGCAGGCTCCACCGCTGGACCATTTCTTTCTTCATTGCCACTATTTCAGTCTATTAGCTTCATTAACCTGGCAGGAGTTGTCAATATCAGATTGTAATTCTATTTTTCTAAAAATATGTAAGGACACTATAGTCATTGTAATTTATAGACTACCTGGATTTAAGGATCCCACAAATTTTATTGAATCGCTTAGTAATATGCTCGATCAATATTCACATTATAAAAACATAATTATTATTGGCGATATTAATATAGATATTGTCATATATAGTAAAGACCCGTACACTTCATATTACTTAAATAGTCTAGCATCTAAAGGTATGTTACCTGCCCACACCTTCCCTACCCATGGCAAAACGTGTCTAGATCACGTTATATTGAAAACAAAGTTATAATCAACCTGCTACGTTGCGGAGAATTCCATTACTGATCATGACACTCTTATATTTCTATTTGAGGCTAATTTGAGTACACGTAGTTTGCCACCAAAAATTAGAGAACGTATAAATTATGATAAATTAGATAGTTACTTTAGCACTTTAGACTTTAAAAGTACTTATTCTATGGTGGACGTTGACTTAGCAGCTACATTCCTGTTACAATCCTTAAGTAATGCTTTAAAAATTAATACAAAATCAACTAAAGTTTCTAATCGCAAAATTATTAAAAACCCCTGGATTACCCCAGGTATTTTCAGATGCTTCAGAAATCGTAACAAATTATACCAAAAATGTAAAAAATATCCGGATGATGACGTAATCATAACTACATACAAACGTTACCGTAATTACTGTAATGAACTACTTAAAAAATTGAAAAAAGAATATGAAAAATCAGAATTAACAGCAGCAGTTAAAATAAGTAATAAAAAACTTTGGGACACAATTAAAATAGTCACAAATACGAATAAACAAAATAATAATGCCGATAAATTATTAAACAAATCTGACCCCAAAACTTCAGTTAATTATGTTAATTCATTTTTTGTAAATATGGGTAAATCTTTGGCAGAAAAACACCACATTAATAACAACATTTCTAGCATTTTTCCTATAAACACATATCACCATTCCATAGTACTTCTTGACACGGACGAACATGAAATAGAGACAATTATTTTAAATATGAAAACTGATTGTAGCGTAGGTAGAGATAATATTTCCACTTTCCTTCTA